TTTCAGTTACCGAATCAGAATTCCTGTTGGGACGTCTATGGGACAAAATTGCCCCAGGGCTGTTCATCCTGAAGGCTATCACAGGACATGGGTACCTTCACTGCTCGTCACCAGCCAGGCTCTGGACACTGAGTTTCTGCCACCACTGTGGCTGCCTGGTTCCCCTTTAAACAGCTGCATCTGTGCATACAAACACATCAGCTGTGTGAACTTCAAGGAGACAGAGCAGCCTGCAGAACCTCATGTTTACTGCATTGCTTTAGGCCAGCTGCCTCGTTTTTGGAACACTCCAGATTTCCAGATATTCATAATCTGGAATATGTAAAAATTGCAGCTTTTTGTTGTTGTTGTTGTTAGGGATATTAAAAAAAAAAAAAAAAAAAAAAAAAGAATGTAAAAACTTAGTTCATGCTTCAGGCTTGGTAAGTAATTCCAACTTCAAGGAGAAACCTGTGGAGTAAGTCCCTGATGTCTGGTGTTCGCAGAGAGCTTGGCACAGCGATGTCACAGTGTTTGCAGGAAGCAGGCTGGGTCACTGCTTTGCTTCTGCTGTGCTGAGGAAGAATGGTTAAGATTCCTGAGCTGAGAACACTGCTTGCTGTCTGCATAGGAAAACAACAACAATGCTATATAATTTGGTGACAAAACCTGTCAATATTAACAGCATATCTTTACTTTGGTGCAGCAATAAGGCCTGATTTAAGGCAGGGAAACCCTTGTGAGGCTTTAAAGAGGAGCCATTATAGAAAGCCCATCTGCAGTTTGGCAGTGTTGCAAAGGCATTACATAGCTGGGTACAAAGAAAAGTCATTTCGGCAGTCCACTGAGCATGACTTAGTGTTTTCAGAGCTGAAAAAAAGCTTATCGTGTTTGCTTCTTCCTTGGCTTATATTCCCTCTTATGTGGGATTCTGGTGCCTATATATCCTTGTTTTAAAGGATTCCGATGCTAGTGCTTATGGTTTGAAGGCTTCATTAGTCTGAGAACACAAATGTTGGCAGACTACATAGAAGGAGCTGTGCCTATACATACAGGGCAGTTTGATTCTTCATTATCATCTCTCTTGGCACTGAATAAGTCCGAAAATAAACAGCACATTGATTTGGTTTAACTTGGTAACATATGGAGGTTACTTTTGTGTTTGTGAAAGAAAACAAGTAGTAGATACAAAATGAATCCTGCTATTGACTACTCTAAAAGTAAGCCAGAAGGAACAGAACAGTGTGTTGTGGTCTAGAGGCATGCCTTGTGCATGTCTGTAACACGGCCAAGCCGGGCTCTGAAGATGCAGTGTCTGCTGAACTCAGCAGAAAGATGCCCTAAGGAGGTGATGGTGTCTGGAGTTTAAGGCTGTCTTGCTGTTACCCCAAAGCTCTGTGCCCTCTTTACTCTCCAGCAATGCATTTGCTCACTATTTCACCTTTAAATATTTGAAAGAGGATTTTTAAAATTAAAAACTATGTGAAGATTAAGTGTTTAAAGGAAGCAACCATAGACAGGTGGAAATGTGTCTAGGGGAAAAGATGAGGAGAATCTAAGGGAAAGAAGGCAGAGGGAGCTGTAGTTGCTTTGAGAAAGGCTTCCTTTTGAGGATTTGAGCATGTGGAGGTATATTAAAAAAAAGGAAATGAATGCAGAAGTATTTTTTGAAGTCATGGCTGGGGATTGACTGTTGATCCTTCCACAAAGGAACTTCTTTGGACGGCTTTTATTGTAAGAAGTTATGGAGTTATGGAGCTTTGGAGTCAGCATTCGTGCATCAAGGAAAGTTTGAGGTAGCAAACAAGGCTCCATCCTCATAAAATGTAATGACTCAGAAGGGACAGCAGCAGAAATTATTCCCTGTGAGGATCAGCGTTACTCAGCATTGTGTGACTGCTAAATCAGTTCCCTGACACTGCTTTCAGAGACCTGCTGGCAAAGGCTCAAGCCAGAGACGGCTCTGCACAGCCTGTCAATGAGAGGAATGGTTTGGGAGGCAATATATGCTAGAGCTCACTGAAAGATGACAGCACATTCCAGTTGGGGTGTATTTCTAAAGCTGATGTGTGAGGTCCAGCCCATAACAGCAGAGAAAGGCAGTGATTACAAGCTCAATGTTTTGAACTTTGTTCTGTTTGCATATGATTAATAGTTCAGCCTCGTCACAGTGAACCAGCAGATTACATGCACAAGCACATGAACTAGAAGAATCCTGACAGTTATGTTCAGTTGGCCTAAATTAGCAAAAGTCAATTAATATAATTGAGGTCTGCTGCTTTATTCTCACCTGTAGTATAATTGTAATGTACCTTCAAGTAACAGAAAATTAGAAACATTTCCTCCATTTATTTCATAATGTAATTGCTAGTATGTTTGTTAAATAACTGAAATAGACTCAATTATTCTATTTGAACTCCATCTGTAAGCAATGACAGGTTTTCTGAATCAGATTCATAAAGTGGCTGTGATAGCTTTTGTTAAGCCATGAAATGAGACATTCAGACAACATGAATCACTCTGCAACTTGGTAACATGAAATAATGAAGTGGTGAAATGCTCTTAGCACCCTACAAATTGATTATAATGGCAGTACATGGCCTACATTGGAAATTGCTTAATGGAATGCTTTGAGTAGGTTTAATTTGCTTGGGAAGTTGCTCAGATGTTATTGGGTTGTACTGAGAGGAAAGTTTTGGTCAAAAACTTTGAAAGAAGTTCATGAGAATCCTTATTAATCCTTGATCCTTACTGTCCTTGATGCTGTTAGTAAGGTGGTCCGGTTTGAGCTTGAAAAACACAGCCCCTGCACTGATGCAGTTCTGCAAGATTAAACCATTGGCTTGGATGAGTGACAGAAACTAAGCATTCATCACCTCTACCCTGTCATATATCACCAGGGCTTATAAAAGGTAAACCAACCAACCAAAACAGCCCTGGTTTACTATTTAACTGAAGTACTGCCTCACTGCTGTTTGCCTTCCTGTGGAATTACTGTGTACACCCAATGCAAATGCAATGCTCCTTGTGCATTCAACACGGCAAAGTGCAAGGTTTTGCATTTGGGCTGGAAGAACCCCAGGCACCCGTACAGGCTGGGAGGAGTGGTCCTTGAGAGCAGCTCGGCAGAGAAGGACGTGGGGGTCCTGATGGACGAGAGACTGAACATGAGGCAGCAGTGCGCGCTGGCAGCTCGAAAGGCAAATGGGATCCTGGGCTCCATCAGGAGAGGGGTGGTCAGCAGGGACAGGGAGGTGATCGTCCCTCTCTACTCGGCTCTTGTGAGGCCCCATCTGGAGTACTGTGTCCAGGTGTGGAGCCCTCAGTACAAGAAAGACATTGAGATTTTGGAAAGGGTCCAGAGGAGGGCGACTAAGATGATCAGGGGGCTGGAGCACCTCCCCTATGAGGACAGGCTGAGGGAGTTGGGCTTGTTCAGCCTGGAGAAGAGAAGGCTGCGGGGTGACCTCATTGCAGCCTATCAATACCTGAAGGGAACCTACACCCACGAGGGGAGTAAACTCTTCAAAAGGGCTGACAACAGCAGGACTAGGGGAAATGGATCCAAGTTGAAGGAGGGAAGATTTAGGTTGGATGTTAGGGGGAAGTTCTTTACAAGGAGAGTGGTTAGGCCCTGGAACGGGCTGCCCAGGGAGGTTGTGGATGCCCCGTCCTTGGACGTGTTCAAGGCCAGGTTGGACGGGGTCCTGGGCAACCTGATCTGAATGTGTGTGTTTGGTGGCCCTGCTAGGCAGGGGGGTTGGAACTACATGATCCTTGAGGTCCCTTCCAACCCGGGTGATTCTGTGATTCTGTGTGATTCTGTGCATCCTTGCACCAGTTTCCACCACAGGGAGAGTTCCAAAGAAAGGAAACTATCCAGTGAGTGCCTTCAGAGTGGGGAGCTGGCCTGGACTCAGTGCCTGAGGAGACAGGTTTGCCTATTGGCAAGGTATCTTCAGTAGCTAACAACATGTTTTCCTCTTTTTCAGTGAAGATGAAGAATTTGTTCTTCTGTCAGGGAGATGAGGTACAAATTGCTTTCTGTGTTTAGCCTAAGTCTTAATAGTTGTTTTGGGCGGGTTCAGGTAAACAGCTCCCATACACAGACTAAACAAAGGAGAGAACAAACAGTGCCATAGCAGCAACATGAAAGCTCCCAAAAGAGAAGTCAGTCTTTTTCAGAGAGGCTTTGATTTTATTTTGTAATGAGATCAGAACAAAAACTATCTATGTCTGCTGTTGTTGGGCAGAAAGAAAAAAAAAGAACAACTGATGAAGTGCAGAAACAAACACGAATAATTTTAGTCATGTCAGTGAAAGTATTTCTAGCAGAAAATAGTTGGCTCTATGTGATGTCTCAGGTGGCATTCTGGCTGTTTGTTCAGTACATTCACTGTCTATGGCAGTGCTTTCACCAAGCATTTCTGCAGGCAGGTATTCCACGTTTCTTCTTTCTGTGTCATGATAAATCATAAAATCATAGAATGGTTTTAGTTGGAAGGGATGTTATCTAGTTCCAGCCCCCCCTACTATAAGCAGGGACCAGGTTGCTCACAGCCCCATCCAGCCTGGCCTTGAACGCTTCCAGGGAGGGAGCATCCACAGCGTCGCTGGGCAGCCTGTTCAGTGTCTCACCACTCTCATAGTAACGAATTTCTTTCTAACATCTAGTCTAAATTTACCCTCTGACAGTTTAAAGCCATTTCACCTTGTCCTGTTGCTACCTGCCCTTACAAAAAGTCCCTCCCCAGCTTTCCTGTAGTCCCCCTCAGGAATGAGCAGGCTGCTATAAGGTATTCCTGGAGCCTTGTCTTCTGCAGGCTGAAGAGCCCGAGCTCTCTCAGTCTGTCCTCATAGGAGAGGTGCTCCAGCCCTCTGATCATCTTCATTGACCTCCTCTGGACCTGCTCCAACAACTCCACATCCTTCTTGTGTTGGGGCTCCAGAACTGGACGCAGTGCTCCAGGTGGGGTCTCAGGAGAGCAGAGCAGAGGGGCAGAATCACCTCCCTCAACCTGCTGGTCACGCTTCTCTTGATGCAACCCAGGATGCAGTTGGCCTTCTCAGCTGCAAACTCGTGCTGCCGGCTCATGTTGGCTCTTTCATCAATCGACATTCCCAAATCCTTCTCCTCAGGGCTGCTCTCAAGCCATTCTCTGTCCAACCTGTATTTGTGTGCTTGGTATTGCTCTGAGCCAGATGCAGGACCTTGCGCTTGGCCTTGTTGACCTTCACGAGGTTGGCATGGGTCCACCTCTCCAGCCTGTCCAGGTCACTCTGGATGGCTGCCCTTCCAGCATGTCAACTGCACCACTCAGCTTGGTGTCATCTGCAAGCTTGCTGAGGGTGCATTAATACTGAATATTGCAGAGTTCAGGTGGTTAGAAGTAGGAGAGCAAGAACTGCTCTACTGTTTGTTATACTTGGTCAGATTTTAATGTAATAACTTCCAGGTTTAGTGGGAAATGAAGGATTTTACCATGTATCATGCATGACTGCTGTGAATCCAGTCCCTATTGAGTATTTTTTCCTATCCATCTCATTCTACTTTTCTTTAATGTAATAAATGTTAAATAGGGGAACATGTGAAACTGTATGAAGTTGTGATGTCTTTCAGTCGTGCTTAATTCTTCTTGGGTTTCTGGCCTCATACTAGGGCTAGTCTTACTGTCCCTCAGGGATGCCCAAAAATAATGGGAGCTAGAGTGGAAGCATGTTCTCAGGGTTAATTCAGGTCATCTCTCTGGAGCCAATTCCTTATGCATATAAATATTGTTAAGTAACACAGGCATATATATTTCATTAAGTAAAAGTTGCTCACGTGTATGGGTAAAGCTGGTTGGCATTGAAGCAGTCGAAGGAAATTTATTCGGAATGAAACGTTCCATAACAATTTAAGAGGAACCACTGATCTTTCTGTAGATGCATGAGAACATCAGACATGTTCTGCCATTGTCCAAAACCCTTGGGCCAAATCCTCCATGTTAATTAAATGTATCTGGATGAAGTTATACATTCAGAGTATTGCTTTACACTACTGAGTAAGTTTTACCAATGCAGTAATTGAAATGTGCTTTGTTGCCTAGGATTTCTGCTACAAAATCCGTCCTACTGAAACCTGACCTAACACAGAGAAAAACTACCAACCCAGGTATGAACATTGATTTTTCCCTTGGATCATGAAGTGCACAAAGTCTTTTAATTCATATTTTCCAGCAGTGCTATATATTGTGAACGGCTTCAGAAGCATCCGTCTGTGCCAGGACAGAGTTCATTTTCCATCCTGTGCTCTATTAAATGTGAGAAGCACACCAGCACTAGAAATGCCTGGGTGATAAGAGGATGCACTTTTTATCTGCCTGGAGCCTGACTGACATCTCCGAACGCTGTTACATCTAAACAGCTTGAATATGTGACCTCATTCCTTAAATACCATCACTTGAACAGCTCTTGTTGCTAAAATAAAAGCACTGTTGATTCTCTGTTGAGAGAACTCCTACAGACCCTCTGACAAGCACCAACTAGACGGTACCTTTTTTCACTGTGATGCAGATGATTGCTTGGCTGTAGGATCTGCAGCGTACCTGTAGCAGCAATTACAGCAAAGGCACTGCTTGCAGTTTTGATGGCACTCGCTTGTGTTACCATCCAACTGTCACACAAATCTCTGCCACGTGGAGCAGGATTGGGAAACAGACCACAAGGAACATGAGCCTGGAAAGGTAAAGTGGCAGAATAACTTTGTTTTCTTATACTGACAAGCAGTTTGTTAATTCATAGCGTAGACCTTCACTGAGGGAAGACTGCAGTTGAGCCAGACTTTCCAGTAAGATGAGACCAGGATCAGCTTTCTCATTTTCTGCTGTCTTTTAATGCTCTGAAATAAGCTTTCTGCAATGTAGGCCCTTATCAGTGCTTTGTGAAGTATAGGCAGGATTTTAAAAACACGAGCGGTGCCCTCTAATTCAAGCACAACTCTGTGCCTCTCAGGAAACAGTGCTTGTGTGGAGGAGCCCAACTTTTGCTGGGAAGCTGAAGGATGGGCTGGATAAAAAGCTTAATTTTTTCTAATTTTTATCTATAAAAACCATTTTTGTGGAGCAGTGTGCAAACTCCCCGCAAGTTAAACCAGAGAGAAAAGAACTCTCATTTTAGTGAATATATTTGCTGTTTGAACAATCTTTTTGTTAGCCTGAGCAAGTTATTTCAAATAGTATTCCAAAACAGTATTGTGGCTACCAACTTGCATACAGCTGTGTTGCTGATGCATTTAGGACTACAGGTGTAAACTCTGTCCCTTGTTATTCTTTGTTACTATACTGAGGTAAGTGTCCCAAAGGCCAAAGGGACCAGAGGGTGGGAAGGACATTCAGGTAACTGACATGTCTTTATTGTAATCTAGACCTCTTACAAAAGCTGACTGTAACTTGCTTTAAATTGCTCAATGCAATCTAGCTGCTAGTTAGCTGAGCACATTTGGATACCTGCTGGTGAGACAACAGGGACTCAGACAAGCCTGGCTGGTACTTGGGAAGGTGAGGGAATTGCTGCATTGGAGAAGGCGCTCAGGCTGAGATTCCACAAGGCTTTAAAGGTCAAGAGGAAGCACCTTGAGGCCAATATTGAATGTGGTTGGCAACCAGGGCAACTAAGCCACTGAGGGAGTTATGTGCTTACTCTGCCTGCTGCCAACAAAACTCCTGCCAGCGTCTTTTTGTGGTAGATGAAGTCTATTAATTCTGCATGCATACACATCAGCAGAAAGGATCTAGCATTACTCTGATCTAAATGGAACAAAACGTGGATGTGAAGGACAGTCACATCCGAATGAGGCAAGGAAGTGTATTGGCAGTATTCCCAAAAACAGTGGGGAAACACTTCACTCCCGTGAAGCCGCATCATGGGCCGGACTGCAGCTAGATTCCTAGGGCTGAGAAGGAGCAGTATGAGACCTTTTACAATAGATGCAGAGTTCAAATTGTGTCTAATTTTCTCTGATCAGATTACATACATACATCTGCAGACTTCTTAACACTGCAGACAGATGACTTGGGTACACCGACAGCGCACAGAAGTGGCAGATGGAATAGAGATGATGATTTTTAATTACATCTTTTTGATTTTAGCAAATGAAAGAAAATTGAGCTTCCTGATGATTTTATTAGATCCGTAAGTGAAAAGTGTACAGATTGAAGGAAAGATGACAATCTGTAGTATTAGAAGAGAAATTAAAGGTAAAACTGTGAGAAAACCCATAAAGAACGATTTAATGAAGTGGTTAAAGCCATTGTAGAACACAAACTGTTTTTAATTGGAAACATCGGACAGTTTCATCTTTCTATCCAATGTTCAGAGGAAATGAAATACCCCGTCGTATAAAAAGCAGCTGGGACACAGGGAGAATGGCACTTCTATCAGTGCTCTGTAAGAGGTCAATGACAATTTTAATTGATGCTATTTCGGTTCGAGTGGTATGGCTGATAACTAGAATAGAAATATCCGAACTGCCTGTTCTTACAAATATGTGGACTTTATTCAGGAGGATCTTCAGCTGAGAAACAGGTACAAAAATCAGATGAAATCTGCTGATACAAGAGAATGAATGCTATTAGAGTTTGTTCTATGGGTACAACCCATTTCATCAGTTTCTGAAAAATACAGAGACTGTCAGCACTCACTTAGGCAAGTTAATAGCAAAGCCAGACAGCAGACACCTCACATCACTCTAAAACTAGCAGGCAGTTCTTAAAATAACTAAATAAATTGTAAGTCACAGTTGCTTTTAAGTTTGTTTTCATGCATTTTTAGACCTTACAGAGCCCTTTTATGGCTTGTTCTTTGTCAGCCTTGAGATCACAGCATGGTCCTACTAAATCCATTTCTTGATTTCTTTGGTGTCAGTGTTGCATACCAAAACAAATAGCAATTGGATTACTAAAGTAGTGGGAATATGTTTTCAAGTCTGAACAATAGCAGTATTCCCAGTTTGCTTTTGCTTTTTCAAATATAAAGAGTAAGAATGCTGTAGAGCATTAGAGACAATAATAGAAAACGGTGCAGCTAATTTTGGAGGTAGAGTGTTTCTGCAGTTTATTTATGAAGAGAACTATTATCAGTCATTTCAAAAAGAAAAAATCTAGCTGATGGTCTTTGCTGTGGGCTGCAAGGAAGTGTGTTTGAGCTTGTGGTGCATGGGAGTGTGAAGAGTGGGTGGGCTTTTGACTTCTCAGGCTAACCATTGGGAATCAGATGGTCCAATGCACATCCATGTTCTGATGATGTATGGTGAATTTGGTATCAGGCTTATGCTGGGACTGCTATTGTAATGCACAGAGATATCCTCTGATGCTATGCTTTTCGTGGAGCCCATGTATCCCCCAGTTAATTTTGAACTACTTAAGCCCAAGAGCTGCAGGCTGGATTCTCAGCTGCCACGAACTCCCAGCAGTGCTCTGATGTGAGAGAAGCAGCCCGGCTCCATGTGAGCTGCAGAGCTCATCCAATGACTCCGCATGGAAGGCTGATTCTAATGACAGTTCTCTTAAATACATAACACTTTTTAGCCAGGAGCTGATTCTTATCCAGGTTGGTAAAAATTAAGGATCGTTTCACTTTTTCTCAAAGTAAATACACATGTCCATGATTTCACATATTTCCAGGGTTATCTTTCAAAAACAGAGCAGTCTGCAGATGTCCCTAACTTGTAATTCTGCCACTAAGTGCTGTGGGGGTCTCAGGATGAGGCTGTGCTCCTCCACTGCACAGCTGTGTTGAAGAGCTGCTCCCTTTGGAGAAGTGTGAGGGAGCAGATTTCTGCAGGGCTGCTTCAGCTGGCGATACCAGTCTCAGACTGATGCAGCAGGGCTCCAACTCTATCCTCATTATACATCAAACCCTCGTTAGCACTGAGGATTATATTAGCATTGGTAACTTTGTGTTGGGACAAAACCAGTTTCTTCTTCAGGAGTCCTTTCTCCTGCTGCTGCTCACATTCCCACACTCTTGTCAGGTTAGCTCAGTCGTGTTTCTTCATCACATCAGCCTCTGGGTCTGGAGTGGCTGCACTGAAGTCATACTTCCTTCATCTGAAGATCTTATTGCTTGACTTAAATAGCTGCATCTCCTGAACCTCTTGTTTCCTAGTTTAAATACCTTTTGATTATTTTTTTTTCCCAGCTCTGTTGTGCTTTCTACTTTTTAGGTGGAATCTTTTTTGCTTCCATTACATTAACTTTGTGATGAAGGTTTTGTTTACTATTACAATACATTCAAATGTATTTTCAGATCATATTTGTTGGGGCATTTTTTAGCTCATTCTCAGTCTACAAGGAACTTAACCTGTGAGAGCAAAAAAGCAGAGATTCAGACTGGCTATTCACTAAACATGGCTGTTTCAGAATATTGTTTAACAGTGTAATGCCTTCTGATTTTAACAGCATTATATAATTAGAATGAGCAGAATGGAAGGTCAGGCTTTAAAGACAATCCTCATGCCACTGTAACTACTGCCACTGCATTCACCTTGATCAGACTTGATATTTTAGTCCTCCTGCCTTTAGAAACCCATCAACAACTGCATCATACTGTAATGAGGCACCAGCTGGTCTTTAGGAATTAGTTTTGAATGAGAAAAAGGAGTGGGGGACAACTTGGACTTAAATGTATATCTACAACAACAGAACTGAGTCAAACCAGAAATAAATTCAGTGTGGTAAGGTAACCTGCAGTTAGATTTTTCACTGTTTTCTGCCTCTGCTGTTGTAATAGAAAAGGGGGTTTCTTTTTTTTTTTTTTTTTCCTAACAATCTCTGCATATTGTGGCTGTGATTCCTTCCAGCCTTTGTCTCCTCATCTCTCACGTTGCTCTTTCAGAGACCTCAGGACACAGGTTCTGTTTTGTTCTGCCTTCTTTTTGTCCTCCAGCTGATGCTGACTGGCACTGCTCAGCCTGTCCTCCCCTCCAGGCAGCAAGGCACAGGGAACTCACAGTTTCTGTACACAAACTCCCACCTTCCCTACCCACCATTTCACACTCTTCCCCACCAAGCTGTCACTGACGAGCCCCCAGATGCTGAGCTGTGGCATTACACGGCTCCTTGTGAGGAAATGACCTCACTGGGGCACAGGGACAGGAACAGCCAGCCGTTCTTCGTGCTCACTGGATGAGATGGCCATTATTTTTGGAAGAGTGCTACAGGGCTTATGGTGGCGTCTGAGTTTCTGTGTAGCAGCACTGAGAGCACAAATACCCAAACTTATCTCTCGCAGGATCTTGTGGGTTTCTCATCCAAGGATTGCCAAACCCCAAACCCGCCCACAGTGTCAAATCCCATGTGATGTTGCCCCGGGTGATATGGCAACGCACACTGCATGAACGTATTCCACATGTCTGTTTGTTGCCAGTACTCAGGATTTAAAAACCAATTAGCCGTGTGCAGACACGCAGCCCGACGTGGAGCTGCATACGTGGAAACGAAATGGTTCTGTGAGTTCTGAGCACAGCGATTCTCCTGAACTTCAAGCCGTGTGGGTTCCCAGCACCTCTGCAGCCGTGCTTTCGGCTGACATGTTTGGCCTATCTGCAGAGTTGTGAGAAATCTGATTTTAAAAGAAAAACATAAACCCAGCCTGGCAGGAGGTATCTGTAATGTCTGTGTATCTTACAGGGACTGATTGGGATTGTGGGTTTCTGTGTTGTGCTCTGTAAACACGAGTTCATGTAGCCTTTGTCTTAGGTGCTTGCAGCAGAAGGGAGTGCACAGAATTGTGTGCAACTAGCTGTACTGTAATACAGAATGCCTGTATAGGCTACACGTTATGATCTACCCACATACCCAAATGTGCCATTATGGGATACTGTTCCTTGCTTGCTGAGGTTCAATTGCTTACCCTTTTTTTTTTAATCTCAATGCATGTATATATGTTTTTTGCTTGCTTGTAGATGTGGTTTGCAAATCCAAGCAAATCCCAAACATCTGCCAGAAAAATCAACTCTCCAATAAAAGCAGGTGGCGCAATGACTGCTGCTTTTCCACTGTCCTCTTTGGTTTGTTGTTGCCTCATTTTTCCAAAACACCCCCACATAACATGTCTTTCATCCACCTGTTGCATTGTGTCTTGTGAACTGTGTGTAGGAGGAGGTAATGACTTCTTAACGTGCCAGGACATTGCATAACCCAGTGAGCCTTGCTTCTTGACAGGGATGCCTAGGCGTTCTGTAACAGCAAACATGAGCCTTCTTAAACAAAATCAAACAGCCCGTCAGGTTCAAGACTGCATACTTAGCTTAGCTGGTTCACACTTGCATATGCATTTATAAATATATAATATATATCTCACACACAATTACAAGTGCATAAATCATTACAGAAAGGAATACTCACGATCTGAACTGAAAATTCCAAGCAGAGAGGTGGACAAAATCCTTAACATAGTTTGTTGAAAAATTATGTCTTTGTAGGATGTGGTTCAGTTGCCATAAAGTGATCTAGAATGTAACAAATATATTATATCATGTACTTATATGGGGGTACCTGATGTTATTAAAAAGCAGTTCAAATAGCACTTACTATTTCTGAAAACTCTGGGAGATGATCTATCCTGTACTACTTTTAGGAATAATACTGTCATTTTTATTTGGTTGCAGGTGGAAGTATGCTGTAAGAAGAAGTAAGAACTATCCAGTCCTGGGCTGTTTTGGTCTGAGGAAACTAAAGTAGATAGTTTTAGGCAGTGCCAGTGTGAGTGCTGATCTTCCTATTCTGTGCAGCAGCAGCTGGAGGTCCTGTCCATTCAGCATCCCTTTTTGTCTCCTCCCAGCTGTCTTACTTTTGATCACACAGTAGGATGCATAAATTACTTTTACAGATTCAGCATCCTGGGGTGGCCATAGAAATGGATTTTCATATAAAAAGTGCTTTAGATCATGGCAGAGAGGCTGAATCTGCAGAGGTCGTAACCGTCCTTGCAGAGAAGCCAGGACATTTTGATGGAAGTGTTACATGTCAGAAATATGAAGTGCAGATACAGCTGTGTGTCTTACGTCCTTTCTTTTTGCTATGGAAGAAAAATATGTTGCTTCAGATACAGAGTGCAGTACAACTACTGAAGATCTGTCTGAGCTTCAGGCTATAAGAAGGGCTAAACTGAGCCGGGTGAGAAGCAGTGTGACACCAGCAATAATCTTTGGGGGAAAGTGGCTAAAAGCGGGCTGAGTTTGAGGATTTCTCTTAGGAGTAAAAGGTGAGGTTGGCACTTTCACTGGGTGCTGAAAAAGTCCTCACGAGGGACATCTTGCCATCCTATCAGTTACACAAGCGTGCCAAAATAGGAGGAAATTGCCTATTTATCATGTGATATTACACAATTTAGCAGAACAGATGAATTCTTAGGTTTAACGAATAGGAACAAGCAGGCTGTTTTTTCAGGGAAAGGATTTATTGGAAATGGCAACTGATGGGCCTGTTTTCATTTAATGTTCTAACCAGGATGCTCAGAAAACATTTTTATGCTGTAGAAAATACAACATGTATGTCTTATGAACTTATTCTTTCCCGAGATTGTAGTCTAGGCACAAGAAATTGCTAACAGAGTAATGTCAAAAAGCTGTTTGCCGTCACTCAGTGAGGTTGGTTTTACAGCATACTGCTCAGCTGAAGCACGACACGATTTTATTCGTTCAGCAGCAGTCTTTGGAAACTGATTTGCCAGGTGACATTCTGGGAAAAAATTAACAAAATTAAGTACATCATTACTCTTGTGGAGAATCAAAGTTGTAAGCGAAGAGAAATGGGGAAAGAAATATGTTTCTGAGGGTAGGCAAACCTTCCATCTTAGTTCATCTATATTAGCTTCAGAAAGACTGTGCTCCACCAGAGAGACCTGTTCAGTGTTTCTGTGGCACGATGCAAAACTGACAGGAACTCCATCCAACTGATTTAGCTGGATAAATCTTTAAGACTGCTAGTTCTAAATTCTGATTTCATTTACTACACTTCAAGTGGGTAAGACTTGGATGAGAAGCAAATCTTTGACTCTCAAGTCAAACTTATTTTTCCCAATACATCCAGGTGTTTATGCTCCACGTATGGTCAGGTTATAATCATTTTCAGTCTCATACATTAAAAATGTTTAGCAGCTTGACTCCATCTGACTGAATAAAAGCAGTTAATTTGCTAACAGCCTGTACTGAAGGATTATTCCTTGAATAGGTGTTATATGGTATTCAAGTAGTGAGCTTTTAATGAAATACATTACATGTTTTGTAAGTCACAATGAGAGGACTAAACAAGCAGCTCAGAATAAGTGATGCCTCCATGGCATCCTGCCCTAGAAAACTCGATGAGCCTTGATTTTCTTTGCACAGTAAAATACGTAACCGTTCTCAAGTGCTGTTGTTCCAGATCTTTTCCTTCGCATTTACCCCTTCTCATATATCACATATACCCTTCATTACCCTCATATATCATATATTACCCCTTCACATATATCAGAACTAAATCAGTCTGCAAGATTTACCTTCCATTTTTCTCTGCCCTTGCCAAAGCAGTGGCTGCAGCTAGGTAGTCTTAGCCACAGTTCCTCTGGTGTGGCTCACTTAGAATAAATCCCTGCCTACAACAGTCAGAAACTAGTTCTAAAACCAGTAAAACTAGCAAATTCAGGTTTTTATCGCTTCAGGTCCAACAGTGCACACTGCTGTTTGCAGTTACTCTACATGCTTCTTATCTTCCTTTTTGGTTTTGCCATCTGGTAGAAGAGAAACATGCTCATAAGAGCTTCATTCTAGCTGATGGCTGTCAAACAGAACAGGCAACAACCACCTTCTCCCTACCTTGCTTTCCACAGAAGAGCTTGTCTGCTTTCTGTAAGTTACCCAGCTGCTCTTTGTCACAAAACTATCAGGACTTTAATATCCTTGAGTCTCCCACCACTGCCAAAGTTAACTGAAATCCTCTGCAGTGTTGAAAAGCTTGAGGTGGTGGCGGTGGGCTTTTTGTTTTGTGTGAGAAAAGGTGAGGGAGATGGAGAGCACTGGGCTGCAACCAGCTCAGTGTGCTTCTGAGAAAGCAGGGTAGCCGTCTTGAAATTTTTTTAGCTGTCCTATCTTTATCTGACCCAGATAAAAGGAAGAGCTCCCTAAACACTGCTGGGACAAAATGCAGCAGTCGCAGGGTCGTTGTTGTCTTCCAAAGGTGCTGTGCTGTCTTTGAAAGTCAAAGTGCACGGAGACCCCAAAGCACCACTGCAACTCGTGTGAAGATTCCAGTCTGATACAAGCAGTTACAGTGCACGAGTGACTGAGCAAAGTGTGACAAGATGGCATGCTGGGACCTTTCAAATCTGAGGCATTTGATATCACTACTGTTGCTTCCAGTGCAAGCTTTCCCTGTGTACTTAAGGTTTAAAGTTAAGGTAGCAATGCCAGTAATCTGCTCTAAAGCTACACTTGTAGCTGTGAAAGCATTCTGCCTGTGCTCTAATTCATTATGTAGTGAGCACGTTCTCCTTTTCTCATTCCCTGGGAATTGGACATCACAATATGTCAACCCAAAAGACCTGAAACGTACTGGACCTTCTTTTTCCCATTGCATCCCCAGGCATAGAGGGAACAAACGCTGCTGGTTCATTACTTTAATTACAATATGTGGGATGTTTTACAGAGAACAAAGTCATATTAAAACCCTGAGAAAACAAAAACAAAACAAAAAAAAAAACCACCCTTGGTATTGCAGCTGAAACATTTGAATGTAGACATGTGCATGAGTCCAAATCTAATGAGTGATGCTGCGATCTAAACTTGATGTTGATTCTATGCATTCAAGCTTAAAAGTAGGAGGGGGGGTCATGCATTTTAAAAAGCAATTACAATACTACCTTGATCTGCATTAACAGTGAATGAATGTTTGTGTCCAGGTCCAACGAAGCTGGTGGTCCTCGTGTTCCTCAGGAGTGTAAACCATTGTGGCTAAAATGGTAAGTGAATTATTCTACTTCTTATACAAGTGAAGGACTGAAGAGTAGCAATACACTAAATAACACTACAGTATAAATAACACTAAAGTGAGGAATTGTTTGTATCATTTGATCATTCTGATTCTCTAAGGAATTCTCTAAGCATTCTAAGATCAGTCTCAGAAAACTTCACAATTCTGTACGTTGAAACTTTCTGCAGAGACCTGGTGAATGTTGAAAGTGGGACTGAAATCATTCAGCATACATCATTCCACCACATTTCCCTGGATTTGTTTTTCTAATACTCCATTAATAAGATGTGAATATATATTTTCATTGATTCCATTTTCTTTCTAATGTATCATTTCATTATAACAATGAAAAGTTTTTAGTTCTTATTTTCATTTAAGGACTGTTTTGATTCGTTGCAGCACGTTCCCTTGAAGTGTCCTCCCACTGGACAGAGAGGGTAGGACTTCAAAGGAGATATTTATTTTAAATCCACACTACCTGCTTGTTGGGAACCTGTTAGTCAGACAGGTTAAGTAGCCTTACCCGAGGTCAGTTTTTAGATGGGAGCTTACCCAGGCACTTGGAAGTGCAACGGATTTGAGGTTTTTGTACACAAGTCCTGTCTGTCTTCTATATAAACGATGCCTTCTTTGGGTATGGAAAGATCCCACTGCTTAGGGCCCCACAGCATCAGTGAGACATAAAACTGGCATTTTAAATGTGTGTCATCTTTGGTTTGTTTCCAAGGGGAAGAGTGGTCAGACCAAAATCCAATTAAAACTGAATTCCTGGGCAGTTTTAGTGAGGTGAATTCTTCAGATTGCAGCCTCATTTGCTAGAGCACGTTGCGTGTTATCACTGATTTGGTTCAGCTCATATTCGTGTGTGTTTTAATGATGAGCAAGTATATACCTGTTCTCTGTTACAAAGTTATTTGTGATGTTATGCATGTGCTTTAGGTGTTTGAATGGAAGCTTAACCAAGTTGCAGCCTAGGAAGAAATTAGCTGGATGTGGGAATTCAAAGCTGCAGCTGATGGTAATTTGCCCTCACAACAGCTGATGTAATTTGGAGCTGTCCTTAAACCAGCCCCATCCCTGCAGATGCTGTGGCACAGCATCCTGCTGGCTGGCTGAAGGAAGTTTTAAACACTGTTTTATGACAGATCTGAATCAGGGTGCTGCATATCAGCATGGTTATTGGGATGCTTACTATAAAAAAACGTTGGTTTGATTTTTCAAGATGATACTGGAGGGGGAAAAAATAGAAAAATTGGCTCAGCTGAAGTCGGTCCACACAAACTCATGGGACGTTAGAAACAGGTCCAGAACAGGAAGTGCCTGGATCACAAAAGAATATAAAAGGTTTAAAAAGTGACTGGCAAGAAAATGTTAATTGTTGCAGAGGACAAAGGAGAGAGGTCCTGGAGAAGATTCTATAAAGCAAACCTGTCCCAGTTACCGTTAAAAGATGGTAATCTCTCTGTAACGCTGTTTTAGCACTTCTTTTCCTCCATGTTCTGCATTTGTATTATCAAATTAAGGAGTGATTTTCTTACCTCACCACAGGGCCTGAACAGAAGTACAGTGGGCATTCAAACCAAGAGAAACCTGCTAGGTAACCATGCCCAATGCCCGCCATGCTGTAGCAATGGCTTAATCTGAAAGCAAAGGCAGAGTTTTATCCTTACAGAGACCAACCATGATGCTTGAAATCTGGGGGTTGCGTTTTAGCCTAATGAGGGACGGAAATCCAACTATCCCTGCAATTCTAACTCCATGTTTTTTAATTGCTAGCTGAGACTAAATGCTATTCCTGTTTGAACCCACTACGATTTGTTCCATCGCAGTGATGTTCCCAGTCTATGATATGCTGTGATATCTTCTGAGTAAGATTAAGCAGGTCACAGTGGACAGAGAAAATGCAGCTAGTACATACAACCATTATCAGTGCTATTGCAGAAATTCAGAAGCAGAATAACTGCTTCTCTTTAATGTACTGAATGGTTTTCTTCCTAAGTTTGCGATACAAAATCATCTCATGAAAACTAAGTCTGTAAATTAACTTACTGAATATCTGCAAAGTACGCCTACTTGCTGACAATCTTCATACAAGAATAACAAAATATTCTTCTAAGAGCTAAACCAAAGCGTGTTTTGCAGTGTATGTCCAAAACTGGAGAGCTGTGTTTTCCTCTCCCTTGTTAATTGACTTGCTCGGGGTATCTGGAACTCCCTTCCTGTTTCCCTCCAAGACCTTTAGTCACTTCCTTTCTCTAAATAAAAATCCCTTTCGTTTCTCTTTAACTGATGATGGATTCACTTTGAAGCATACTGATAACATCATCTGAATTCTACATAGATTTTCCTTTTCGTAGACGACCAAAAATGACTCTGCCTGAAGATGCTCAAGTTGGTTTCACTACTGTGCCTGTACTCAGAACTCTACAAAGTATTAAAAATAGCTATAGGTAAGGGAATCATGTCATAAATCCCAAACCACGTTAACTGCTGGCACAGTGAGAAAGAATTGCTGCTAATGGAGCTGCAGCACTGCTTCTGGGCTGTGGTCCTCCATGTTGGGACACAGCACTTCCAGCAGAGCAAGACTCTGGTTGGGGGATAACAGAATTATGGGTGAACCACAGTCCTCCAAAGAACATAAGGGTTGGCTAAGATCATCTAGTCTAACCACCAACCCAGCACCACCACGCCACTAATCCAAATGTGACTGCCAAAAGGGCTGGCTTGGAAACGTACGTGAATTGTTTGTCAACAAGAAAATCTTAAGAGAGAGAAAAAATAATGAAGAGAACAGAGTCTAAAGACTTTACAGGTCTTCAGCTAAGTTCGCATTCACTGCTGGAGGATTTTGTATCCCCGTAGGATAACAGTTGTCTTTGTGAAAATACTTTCTGTGGTCCTTCTAGGCGTGCCTGCAAGAGGAAGGGAATGCCCGTGTCCTCCGGCCGCTTGCGCGAGCCTCCTCCAGCACAACCCGAGGCCGGGCCAGGTGCAGGCTGCCCGGAGGAGGCGGGGGAAGGCGGCAGTGCGGGGGGCGAGGCATCGCCTCACGGCCCAGGCCCGCATCACAGCCTGCAGCAGGCCTGGCTCGGGCACAAAAACCGGCCGAGCCGCGCGGTTCGGGTAGCAACGGGACCGCCGGGCCCGTCTGCGTGGCTGCTGCAGCGTCACGGGGGATGAACAAGTTGGTGCGCTCCCAAAATGTCTCCTCCCTGGATGGACGCCGTGATTCCAGCAGGCTTTATTGCTCCCTAGCCACGCCAGGCTCTTCGCGCGCCGTTCCGACTGCCATCTCGTGCCCCGCCCCCACCTCCTCGAAGGCAGGGGCTGACCGCCGCCGCCCGCGCTCCCTAGGGGGATGCTTCCGCCCGCGGACCGCCGCAGCGCCGTAAGGAGCGGCCCCTCCGCACTGCGGAGCTCCGCATCACGCCCGGCGGGTAAGAAAGCACGTCACAGCCACCAGAGCCCGGCGTCCGCTGCCCGCCGCGAGCTCCGTGCCGCGCCCCGCGCCTCACCACGGCCCATCGGGGCAGCGCGGATTCCGGACCGCACCCCGCGCAGAACTTCACCCGACTTCGCCATCCCGCCCCGCCTTCACGCTGCATATTCATGAGGCGGCCGCACCTGATTGGCGGAACCGCGCCCCCGCTGCGTCCCATTGGCCCGCGCGGCCGCCGTTCACCGGGCCCCGCCTCCTTCCCCCGGCCGTGACTCACCAGGGCGTGGAACCGGTCCCGCAGCGCAGCCCGCGCCCTCCCCCCGCAGCCGGCAGAGGCGCAGCCCCGGCGCCGCGCTCATTGTTCCGCCCGCTCCAGGCACCATGGACGAGCTGGACCAGTCGCCCCTGGTCTCCTCCTCCTCCGCTGGGCCCCCGCGGCCGCAGCAGCCCCAGTTTAACTACCAGTTCGTGCTGGACGACGAGAAGGAGGAGGACGAGGAGGAGGAAGAAGAAGAAGAAGACGAGGACTTCGACGAGCAGCTGGAGGTGATGGAGAGGAAGCCCGTGGCGGCCCCTCAAGAGCGGCCCTCGCCGCCTCAGGACCTCGGCAGCCCCGCCGAGCCGCCCCGCCCCGCCGCGCCCGAGCCCGCGCCCGAGCCGCCGCAGCCCGCGCGTTGCCCGCCGCAGCCCGCCGTCTCCTCCTCCTCGTCCGCCGCCAGCACGCCATCCCCCGGCCCCGAGCGGCCCCAGCAGGAGCCTCGCAGAAGAGGGTCCTCCTCCGGCTCGGCGGGTGAGTGCCTCTCTGCGCCTTTGTCTGCCGCCGCACCGCGCCCTCCTCCGCAGCTTTTGCGGGAAAACGCCTTTCCCCCTTCCCCTTTTTAATTCTTTTTATTATTGTTATTTTTGATTTTTTTATACTCGCGAACGAGTCGCTTTCCGCTCCCCTCTTTCTTATACTGCTGGCGGAGGGAGGGGCGGCGGCCGCCTCGCACATGGCCGCCCGGGGGCGAACCCGCCGCCGCCTGGCAACGGCCGCGCTGCGGGGCGGGAGCGGGGCCGGGGAGCGGGGCGGGCGGCGGCGGCGGCGCGGCGGGCGCTGACGTTACTCACGGGGAGGGAGGGAGGGGCCGCGCTGCGGGGGGGGCGGGCGGCGGCCTCCGGAACAATAAACGTTGGCAAACCGAGGGCCTCGCGTCGCGATGCTGCCTAGTGCCTCGCGTGCGCGATGGCATCTGCAGGAGTCGCATAGCCGCCGGTGAACGCGGCGTTCGAGAGCGACTGCCCCAAATCCGCGTTCAACCGGAGCGATAACGTACGAGAGGTTTAACGCGCGTTCTGTTGGCACCCGTGACAGGGCTTTGTGGTTCTTGCCTTCCGTGAGGCCCCTCTGACTGAGCCGCGTGTGCGGCGGTGCGCTGGGGAGATGCGCATGGCTGCTGTGGGGCCGCAGGTAAGGACAAAAGCACGGGTTGGGTCAGAGCAGGAGTGCGAGCTGTGCAAACTCCAGTGCTGCACCCAGTGCTGGGCCCTCACTGCAGGAAAGACACCGAGGGCTGCAGCGTGTCCAGAGAAGGGCAGTGGAGCTGTGAGGGGTCTGGAGCACAAGTGTGATGGGGAGTGGCTGAGGAACCGGGGCTGTTTGGTCTGGTGAAGAGGAGGCTCAGGGCAGACCTATGGCTCTGCAACCACCTGAAAGGAGGCTGTGTGAGGCGGGGTCGGCCTCTGCTCACAGGGAACGGCCATAGGACGAGAGGGGATGGCCTCACGTTGTGCCAGGGGAGGTTCGGGTTGGCTGCTAGGAACAATTCCTTCTCCAGAAGTGATTCTGCACTGACACAGCTGCCCAGGGAGCGGTGGGGTCACCTGGAGTGTCCCAGAATCATGGGATGTGGCACTGAGGGACGTGGGCAGCGGGCACAGTGGGCTGTGCTGTGCTTGGACTGGATGATCTTGGTGCTCATTTCCAACCTTAAGGAGTCAATCAAACCATAGAATAGCCAGTTGGAAGAGACCCGTGAAGTTCATCAAGTCCAACTTCATGTTGTTCCTTGGAAAACAGGGATAAAAGTGTCATTTCTGGGGCTGCTTTAGCATTTTTACTCCTTGACCCCAGAAGGACAAGGAGCGTGTTCATACCTGAAGTGTTTCTCCTTTGTTAAAGCAGAGGAGAGAGAACCCCGTGAGAGCTGGGTGCTGTAGCTGAGAAGTGGTGCCAGACTTATTTTACGAGACCTACTTGTGGGGGAACAGGATCTATCACTGATGATGAGCTCAGTTTCTGAAGCAAGGACTGGCATCCTTAGCAGGCCTGCTTTCCAGAGGCAAAGTGTGACAGTTAAAGTACTCATCTAATGATGAGTTGGAACACAGGTTATGTTTTAAGCACTGGAATCCAGATGTGAGCACATCATTTTGATAAAAGCACTGTGGCCATGTTATGTGAGTGCTTTGGTCCTCTCGAGTGTGGGAGTGCTTTGTTTCAGCAATAGCCACCCGACATAAAACCAAAAACCACCTGCTGTCTGAATGGATATCAACTCTTGATGATTTAACTTCAAATAAGTTCGCTCCCAGTCTTGCTGTGAAGCTGGCAAAATCAAATGATGCCTGCAGCTGGTGGCAGGGTGCCTGTGGAATGATAGCCACAGCCCGTGATGGCCGCCGCTCTTCTGGAAGGTTATGGCTTCATTCCCTGTCAGCTCTGCTTAAGGTTTAAGTGAAAGATTGTGGTTCATAATCGATAATTTAGAAAGACTCAATTCTCTTCGTATTTAACATCTAAGGCTTTGATCAGTGATGGTTTGAGATGAATAGCTTTGAAGTCTTATTTGGAAGGAGTAGTGCCTATGGTAAGTGTGTGAAGAATAGTAGGGTTTCCTCTATCACCAGCAACTGGGCTCTGGTGCTGCTTTTTGTCAGTAAAACAATGGAGAAAAATGCAGACAACTTCTTGGCCCAGTAAAAGGTATTATTTATATCTGGAGGAGCTTTAAAAAGCAAAGCTTTGTAATTAGTATCAGTTACATGCTTAGAAGTATTCCGTACCATTCTTGCAAGAGGTTGTGACATAATTATATGTAATGCAAGTCGCTGGCAAGGCTCTCCCTTCCTAAGAGCGAATATAAATATTTGTAGAAGAAGAAAACAAGAAAAAGGGCTCCAGTAAAACTTAAGCTGCCTTGGATACCTTTTTTTTTTTTTCCTTTTTCTTCTCCTGTTCACTGTTATGCGAGTAGCAAAAACTACTGTTCTTAAATTTTTCAAGAAGTAATCTTGATTTCTTAAATTTACATACAGTGGGGGGGGAGACGAGAGAGGGGGGAAGAAAAAAGGCAAACGTTAGGTGGTCATCCCTGGTAACACTGATGTGTTGTGGTTTTGTTTTTCAGTTTCTTTTTTCCCCCCTCTCCTAGCTGTTCCAGTTAAGAGTAACCGGTAAATTATGACAAGGAGATGCCACCTTTCATCTTCACAGCCCTAGATGGTATCAGCACAGGCTGCTGCTTGTAACTGCAGGCTGTATATTGCCTTGCTGGAAGGCAGAGCTGCAGTACAACGTTTAACCCTACACTTAATGGGAAACCCTTGTGCTGTCCAAGCAGCTGGTCACGTGGAATGGCAGGCCAGTAGCCTGAGTGAGCAATAGATGACAGCTCCTTGTGGCTCAGCAGCCTGCAATCCAGCCATGGTTCAGTGCGCGTGCAAATGTTCTGAAGTGCCAGTTTATTAGTCTTGTTTTTAATTAATTTTGTAGGGCTTGCTTTTAATTCATAGGCGTTCAGGAGAGTTTTCATACAAGCTCTGCCCGTATGCAGGGCTG